ACAAATACTGTGATATTCTAGCTAAATATCATACTGATCTCTGACCTGATCTGCCACAGATCTGAGCGACTCAAAGCAGTGTTGTGGAAAACAGTGACTATCAGAATTGAAAATAGTTGCCTTTCTTTAATTATGGGAAGAACAGCGATGTTTACATGATGAAGGAACCATAAAGAGCACCGTGTGAGTCCTAAGAACCGACCATGTTGAAGCACTTGCTGAATAAGTGAAACTACCATACTGGGATACCGACATAGGGGTATCTACCACATAGCCCGCAAGAGCTATAAATGTGGTCCAAGACAAAACTGGGAACTTACTTAAAGCATGAGCTTTAGTTACTTATTTATTGTGGATGAGTGTTTTCCTGCATGTGTGTATGTGTCCCACGTGCATGCCTGGTGCCTGCTGAGGTCAGAAGGGTGAGCAGATCCCTTGGAACTGGAGCTACAGATGGTTGGGAGCTGCCATGTGGGTGCTGGGAACTGAACCCAGGTCCTCCACAAGAGTAGCCAGTGATCTTACCCGATGATCATGACATCACCAAAGCATGACACTTGTGTGTGGAGGGGATTTTTTTGGTAAAGCCATAATGTGGTTTTGAAACATGAACTTTGTAGAGGACAACATTGTTTCACAGTGTCACCCAAAATAAATGCATCCATGCCCTCACCATCTACATGCATGTATGGCTTCGGATAAATGGTGTGCAATTTCCTAGCACAGAGGGTCAAATTGGCACCACCAGACATTACTTGTGCTCACGGGGACTTGACTCATGAGACATAGCAGTTAGCTATACTGTTGTGACCTTCCACTGCCAAGGACAGCTTTTGATGTCATGTGAAAGGTGGGCAAGTGTTCTTATTTCATATTTAAGGGTGCCTCCATACCTTGGCCATGCCTCTCTCACTACCCACAACACTTAACTATTGATTGTCCACTAAAGCATTAAGCTGAGATGTGCAAGGATCTAAATCTTGCTTTGTATTTTCCTGTCGATTCATTTTTATAGTAAAAGTATATAGTCTCTTCATTTATTACTTTTACATCTCAGCATGCCTTGATTCTTGACTTAAACATTCTTTTGTATGTACTTATTTATCTCATGTCTGAGGCAGAGAAAATGCATGCTTATGACACAGCACACATGTGGCAGTCAGGGATAATCTTTACGGAGTTAATTCTCTCCTTCCACCTTTATATGCAGCCCAAGGACGGAACTCGGGTCACGAGGACCCCGCAAGCGCCCTTTGAACCTTCTCATGCAGTTAAATGCTTTTGTGTTCTTTTCCTTTTTTCATGTTTATTTTTCCCTGTGTGTATGTATGTGGGTGTTCACATGTCATGGTGCCTGTGGAGATCTCAGAAGAAAACAAAGCCTCCCCCAGCCCCCCACATTTACAGATGAAGGAAGCTTGTCCAACGACAGATGAGCTGACAACTGGGTCTTTTGTAGAGGGCTATGGTAAGGCGGCCTGCTTATTTTGCAGGGGCTTTGCATGACTTGTTTGAAAAGGCATCCTATGCAGCACTGGGAATTGTGCTGGAACTATAAAATGGCGAAACTGAAAAGCAAATGCATTGTCTCCACCAGAAGGGTCTTAAAAGTCACAACTCAGAACCCACTGTAAAGCTCATTACGGGATGGCATCTTTAGTAGAAAATCAAAACTACTTATGATGAGTTTACTAAGCAATGCATGGAGACTGTGAAAGATACAGTGTGCCCTGAAAAGGCATTATTCTATATTATTTCTAAAATTAGTTAGTCTTATAGCCTAGCTGAGGAAACTGGAACATCTATGGGAAGGGTTGGAAGAGTGGAGGCACCAATGTTACATTTTATATTGTTTTTGCTGGATGACAGTGCTGATGCTAAAGGTACAGCGGAACATGCCGTTTTTATCAGTGGTGTTGATAGCAAGGATAACGTCCCTGAAGAAATGGCTTCTTCTTCTTCTTCTTCTTCTTCTTCTTCTTTTTTTTTTTTTTTTTGGTTTTTCAGGACAGGGTTTCTCTGTGTAGTTTTGGAGCCTGTCCTGGATCTCACTCTATAGACCAGGCTGGCCTCAAACTCACAGAGATCTGTAGATGTAACCAACCATCTTATTAAATAAGAAACACAGAACCAATGCAAAGAAGAAAGCAAGAGGTCAGAGCTAAGAGCTAAAACCTTACCCTTCCTCCTGCGGTGGTCCTACCTCTCCGAAAAAGAGCTACTTCCTGTGTTAAAGTCTTTATAAAGACTTTTGGTTCTGCCTTCTCATTGGTTGTTAACCCAACCACATGACCGCCTCATTACTGCCTGTCTGTACAGACCTCCAGGTCTTCTATGGTTGGTATTGAGATTAAAGGCGTGTGTCTCCAATGCTGGCTGTATCCCTGAACACACAGAGATCTACCTAGCTCTGCCTACCAAGTGCTGGGATTAAAGGCATGCGCCACCACCGCCCAGCTTTCCTATGGCTTGCTAAAAGCTCTGACCCCCGGGCAACTTTATTTATTAACATACAAATAACATTTTAGTACAAAATAAAATATCACCATAGATATGGCCTGCCTTTGCCTCCCGAGTGCTGGGATTAAAGGTGTGGGCCGCCATCGCCTGGCATGAAATGGCTTCTTTAGTGCCCTTAAAACACACAACTGGGGGCCAGCGAGGTGGCTCAGCAGGTGAAGGCTCTTGCTGCCAAGGCTGACATCGTGAGTTTGATCCCCAAATCCACATGGTAGAAGCAGAGAACCACTCTCTTTAGTTACCTTCTCACCCCGCACCTGTGCCAAGGCTTATGTCCACAGGAAAATAGACAAATTCAAAAGACAAAATACGTAACTGTATCCTCTGAGATGGCTCAGCAAGTAAAGGAGTTTACCACCAAGCCTGGAACCTCAGTTCTGTTCCCAAGTTGCAAAAAAAAAAAAAAAAAAAACCGTTCAACTGATTTTCTTTGTCCATTATTAATCTATCTCATACTACCCTAGTGATGATGAGTCATAGAGACTTATCAGATTCATAGAAGATGCATTTGCCACCAACCAAAAACTCATGTTTATAAAGTATCATTGCACAGCACATAAAAAAAAAACACTTTGTGCCTAAAAGCATTAAAATGGCTAACACCATTAGCTCAGGCTGAGGGAAAGGTCTTATGCACTGACACACTGACTGATAACAGATTTGGGGGAAATACCTTGGTCTATTTGCACCTCCATTTTCAGTTGATATAAATACGTCATCTGTCAGTTTTCAAATGGAATGCCAAGAGTTGCAATCTGAAACCAGCTAAAAGAAAGACCAACCTTGCCTTTCCTGGGCTTCCTCTTTCACCATCATGCCTTACTCATGCCATCCCTTTCCGGGCAGCACCTACGTTCGTGAGGACTGTCTTCAAGAAAGAAGTCTGTAGGAGTAAGATTAGGACCAGAACACCGACAAGCCCCAGAAAGCCCCCGAGGACTGCAGCTACTTGAGCTGAACCAGGTATTGATGCCTCAGTTCTCAAATACAAGGTCAAATGCCCACTGGTTTTATGTTGTTCTCTTTTCTTTTACTTTTATAATAAAAAGTATCCCCCCAAACTCAGTAAGGACTAGAGAGATTCAGCAGTTAAGAGTGTATACTGAGTTGGGCAGTGGTGGCACATGCCTTTTAATCTCGGAACTCGGGAGGCAGAGGTAGGTGGGTCTCTGAGTTTGTGGCCATCCTGGTCTACAGAGTGAGTTCCAGGAGGGCCAGGGCTGCACAGAGAAATCAAATCTCAAAAACAAAAACAAAATAAAACAAAAAGTGTATACTGCTTCAGAGGACAAAATTCAGTTACTAGCAACCAAATCTTACAGCTCACAACAGTTTGTAACTCGAGTTCCAGGAGATCCAACACCTCTAGCCTCCACAGGCACCTGTAGGCACGCGCAGACGCTCTCTCTCTCTCTCTCTCTCTCTCTCTCTCTCTCTCTCTCTCTCTCTCTCACACACACACACACACACACACACACACACATAACTGAAAAATAAAAACAAGCTTTTTTCTCTTAAATCTGTGAATTCTAGCACTTGGGAGACAGAGGCAGGCAGTTCTCCTTGAATTCTAGGCTACCTTGCTTCACATAGTGAGACCCTGACTCAACAAACAAACTAGTAAAAGTTGAATTAATTAATTATGTTCATTTTCTTTATTGGTGATCAAAAACTTGGGACCTGCCTGATAATTTTAAAAGATTCTTCAAACATGGAGAGTCTTAGAAAGAATTTTTAGAGTTTGTTGATGAATTTAAAAAAAGAAATAAAAAGGAAAGAAAGGACATGACTGCTCCTAGGTATGGTGGAGGAGAAAGTTTATTATAGATACGTGGGACAGCATAGTCAGAGGCAGGGATATCTGGAAGAGCCCAGAGTGGACAGGACCAGACTGAGCTGGTCCATGTGAAGAGTGGGGGTGGGGGAGCGGACAGATGCAGCAGCCCAGAGGCCAGAGGTACAAAAGGAGCAGGTAACCAAGATGTCTGGATTACATAGGAAAGATCCTCTGGGGCAAGGGCAGCCCAGTCCCTGGGCCTGAGAATTTAGGGTACAGGTGGGGTTTGCCAGCCTTACACTGTAACAGGGAGGGACTGAGGGAAGCTGGAAGAACCTGGAGGCCAGATCTGCTTTGATATGTTAAATAGGCTCCTCAGCCATTCCAGGCTTGAAACTTAACAGTTCCAAGAAAAGATATTTAAAAGATGGATCGAGGGAGAGAAGGGATGGTGGATGCTTGTCCAGTCCTAAACCTCTGGATCACTCTGGGACGTGAGCTCAGCTCCAAAAGATGGGATTGGGGTTCCTGTCCCTGAGACAAGCTTTCTGGAGATCTGCAGCTTCCTAATTCTCTAAGCCTTGTTTAAATAGTAAACATAACCACCACGCTGTATTCTTTTAAAGTTTTTTTCTAGGCTGTAAGCGGAAGTGTCTGGCGTGTTTCTGCTTACTTCCTGTTTCTCTTTTCACAGTGAGCGGCTCTTTGAAGAGTCATGTTTGAGCTCAGAACATATTGTGCTGATAAAACATGGGTTGGAATATGGATCGGCTGTACAGGCAGGCAGAGTCTGTTGGCTCATATACTATGGAAACTGTTTCCTGGTTTTTCTACTCCATCTATGAAAGATACGGCATCTTGGCCCCGCCAGGAAAGCCAGAAACTTCATGGAAGTGCAGTGTCACAGGGGACAGGAAAGGAAGCCACTCTTGCCTGTCAGCCAGCCCCATGGTAAGTCCCACTGTGTGTGTGTGTGTTTACATGTATGCGTGTGTGGTGTACGTCTTGTATGGATTTGTATATGTTTTACATGTGTGTATATGCTGTTTGTGTATATGTATGTTTCATATATGTGTGCGTTTATTTGTTTAAGGATATGTACTGTTTACGAACACTTGCATTTGTGTATATATGTGTTTACATGCCTGTGTGGTGCGTGTATACTGCTATAGTGTTTGTATTATAGATGTGCATGCAGCTGTGTATCTGTACATGTTGTATGTATATTTGTGTACTCACAGGCATGTATGAGTGACTATGTATGTACATTTCTGTTCATCTGTATACGTGTTTACATGTATGTGTATGAATGGGGTACACTGCATTTTTATGTATTATATGTGTCATGTATGTGTTTACATGTGTGTATGTTTGTGTATATGTATGAGTTGTTTATGTGTATAAATGGCATGTGTGCCATATGTATACATTTATGTTTGTGTGTGTTTACATGTATGCATGGTGAGTGATTGGTGGGTATTATGTTTATATTTTTATTTAAAGTTTTTTCATAGAATATATTTGATTATGTTTTCCCCTTTTTCCTACCTCCTTACCAGTCAAACTTCATGCTCTCTCTCTCTCTCTTAAAAAAATAAAATACAATTTTAAAAGCCTGAAAATCAAAAAACCAATAAGACGAAAAGAAAAAGTCAAAACAAAATGAAACAAATCATAAAGCCCAGAAGACTAACTTTTCACCTGTTAGCCCATGACCAGCAATAGATGATAGGAACCCAGAATGAGCTGTGAGCCCATGGCCGGCAATAGATGATAGGAACCCAGAATGAGCTGTGAGCCCATGGCCGGCAATAGATGATAGGAACCCAGAGTGAACTGTGAGCCCATGGCCGGCAATAGATGATAGGAACCCAGAATGAGCTGTGAGCCCATGGCCGGCAATAGATGATAGGAACCCAGAGTGACCTGTGAGCCCATGGCCGGCAATAGATTATAGGAACCCAGAGTGAACTGTGAGCCCATGGCCGGCAATAGATGATAGGAACCCAGAGTGAACTGTGAGCCCATGGCCGGCAATAGAGAGGAACCCAGAGTGAACTGTGAGCCCATGGCCGGCAATAGAGAGGAACCCAGAGTGAACTGTGAGCCCATGGCCGGCAATAGAGAGGAACCCAGAATGAACTGTGAGCCCATGGCCGGCAATAGAGAGGAACCCAGAGTGAACTGTGAGCCCATGGCCGGCAATAGAGAGGAACCCAGAGTGAACTGTGAGCCCATGGCCGGCAATAGAGAGGAACCCAGAATGAACTGTGAGCCCATGGCCGGCAATAGAGAGGAACCCAGAATGAACTGTGAGCCCATGGCCGGCAATAGAGAGGAACCCAGAATGAACTGGGTGATGTCCTTGGTTGGAGGTTCTTCGTCTCATGTTTGTAAGAGCGTGTATGGCTTCCGGTTTTGAGTTTCTGTGGGATTCCTGTGTGTGCGGACATGTGTGTCTCGACGTCTACGTGTGTTTCTCATGTTTTCTTTAGCTCTTTTTCATCTGTTTGTTTGTTTGCTGGCTTTGCCCCGTTCTCGTTTGTTTTTGTTTTCTCTCTTTTATTTTATTATTATTCTTTACATGTCTGCTTGCTTTCTAAGGAGAGACAGAAAGTGTGTGGAATTTGATGGGAGGAGAGGCAGGGAGGACCTTGGGGAGTTGGGGGAGGGGAACCATAATCAGAATATTTTGGATGAAAAAAATCTATTTTCAATAAAAGAAAAATAAGTGGGGGGGAAGCCCACAGAAAACCCTGGAGTTCGTTTTGTATTATGCATGTATTTCTATGTATGTTGAATGTGGTGTAAACATGTTTGTGTGTTTGTAAACCCGTGTGTGTGGCTGTGTATCCACATTCATATAAATACAAGTGGTGTGACAGAAAGAGCTGTAGCACAGAGCCAGGAGAACTTTGTGTTCTGTGATGACTTTTATGCTTAATGCTTGTTGTTTTCTCAGTGATGGGGACCTGCAGCCAGAGTCTGGCACACTCCCCACAAGCATTCTACCTCTGAGCCATGTCCACCACCCCCAACTGGCCAACGTTCCCCAGGGCACTTTTTTAAATGTCACATTCTTTCTGAGCAATGTAACCAGGGTGATAATGTCTCTCTCAACTGGACTGGAGATAAAAATTCGAAGTGTCCCGTGTGTGTGTGTGTGTGTGTGTGTGTGTGTGTGTGTGTGACTGTCTGAGGCGGGCCAGCAACGCTCAGAGGATGCTGCCTCCTTCCTCTGACAGTGCTGTGGGCATGGTGCTGGGTACCTAACTATTGCCTGGGTGATGCCTGGACTCTGCACGCTCCAGCTTCATCTGCTGGGAACGGTTTCTGTCAATCCACCTGTTCTCCAAAGAAGGAGCGAAGTCAGGGAAGACGCCCCAGAGACTGAGGGGTCTGGAGGCCTCCAGCTCACCAAGGCAATGGCAGCGCTGCTCAAGCCAGGATACCTGACCAGCTCTGAACTCGGCTATCGGCCTGGCCTGCTTCCCCACTCTTCTCGGGAACCACCAGACTTTCTTCAGCTCCATGCATCCACATGTTAGCCCATTAAGCCAGACACTGGCTGAACGTCATAACAGCACATCACAAAGCCATGTCTCCCGTGTTCCCACTGGCTTCTCCCTGGGATTCAGAGAAGATAAGGCAGTCTGCTGGCCGGGTAGCATAGAACATCTAACAGCGCTGTGACAAGTCCAGACTGCACTTGGGGGCCCCACCTCAGAGTCTTCGTCCGGATGTTTAGTCTGGCTGTGAGGGTCCTGAGAAAGTCACAGATCATCCAGTTTTCTTCCCAACCCTGCAGGGAACCTCACTCTAAGAGCAGCACTGCAGGCTCTGGAAGCAGAGGATGGTATTAGCCCAGGAAGCAGGCAGGCATCACTCATCAGAGCAGTCTTTGGGAATTCCTGGCTGGGATGCTGTGGCTCCACTTTGCAAAGAGAACTAGAAGTGGGCCTGTAGCTGTGGACATGCTGTGACATTGGAGGAGCAGGTCTTTTCAGATTTAGACCTCAAACTCCCCCTGAAATGACACTCAGGCCCGGGCAGTGTGAGCATCCTAGGCAGTAACTATGTCTCCATCGCACACCGAGGTGCCCAGTTCTCAGCAGGGTTCTGCCTTGCACTATGAAGATCATCATCCCCATGGCTGTCACCTTCCTTGCACCTGCTGAACACAGCCACTAGCTTTCAGTCATGCCAATTCTCGGTGCTAAAACCGTGATGGTTCTTTCTGAAGCCAAGACTGAAAGCTACACCCTCTGCATAACTTCCTGCCCTGCCTATATAGATCTCATATGGTCTGAGACACCAAATCAAGACCATGCTGTCGCGCTCTCTTCTTCTTGTTCGTCACCCCTCTCCTTCTCCTGACCCCATTCCCCGCCCCAGGCCCTCAACGCACAGCTCTGGACACGGTCTACCCAAACAAATTCAGTGGCTCCTTTCTTATGACAATCTCTTCAACTCATGGTGGAGAACCCAGTGCCTGGGGGTAGGGTTCCTGAAACCTCCAGAGAATGTCTCATACCCTTCTTCCCCACTCCTCATCAAGCACACACACACACACACACACACACACACACACACACACACACACACACACACACACGCGCGGAGTAACTTTCCCTGACAAGAAAGACAAGGCCCCTTAAAACGCAATCAGTACACATGTACAGGCCACAGAGACGGCTCAATGGATAAACGTGCTTGCTGTGAGAACCTAACCCCTGAGTTTGGTTCCCGGGACCCGCAGGGAAGGAGAGAACAGACTCTTGAAAGTTGTCGTCTGACCTCTCCATGTGTACCATGGCATAGACCCACCTGTGCATGCTCATGTTCCCAAGCTTGCTCACACACACACATAACAAAATGAAGTTACTTGCATGTATTTAAATGTATTATTGTTTTCTGCAGGTGGAAGAAGAATGTGGACACAGTCCCCAGAAGAATCCCACAAGGCAGTTGCCCCTGGACTGCGTACAAGGGCCGACAGAAGGTACACAGCTTTCCTAGAGAGATGAATCAGAGAGGTGTAGATGGGACCACTGGTGTGCAAATGACATGAGACCACACTCTGAGTGCTGGGAGGGGCAGGCAAAGGCCCTCATTACATAGATTTACCCACTGTAGCCAAAACAAAGCAATATGGCTCTTCTTTACACCAGGAAAAACTAAGGAAAGGGACCCCTGGCAGGTGGATGGCCATAGGAGGTGAGAAATGCCAGTTCCAAGGAAAAGAGTCTTCGCATTCAAGCTCCTCCCTGAGAAGGACAGGCTGGTCATGTGGACATGATACAAAGACTAGCGTTTTCTCACAGCTCTGAAGCCAGTAGTCCTTGTGAGGGTGATTAGCTGCATATGACGTGTCACATTGATTGACACTACCATGCAAGCAAGCCGAATGTCTCCAGTGGCCATTGGCAGGGACTGGGTTCAGTCTTCTTGGAGATTCGCCTTTGCCACCTAACCAAGGGAGATAAAATTTGGGGATGCTAGAAACCTACCCACCTTTTCTTTCTAGAAGAAATGATTTGTGACTCATTGTATTTTAACACAAATGACTTTTTTCTTTATGAATTTGAAAGGCCTGGACCATCAGAAGAAAGCCCACTTATTTTACCACGTGGGAAATTCACCAACACAGGCTAAGCCTTCTTCACTTCTTACGGGAAGCAAAGTTAGTCATTATTTGAAAAGTCCCCTCTCTGCATCTCATGATGCATTTGGCTTTTAAGTTTGAGCTCTGGCTGCTCAGAAATAGTTATTCTTTAGCCTTAACTGTGCCTTAACTAGGCAGGCAGGAATGGACATCCAACTATCCATGCCTAATTGAAACTTGCGTGAACCCACTCAAATTCTTTCCTATCCCCTTTGGAAAAGCTCAAGAGAGCCGAGATGATTGCAGGTCAGGCTAGGGTACAGGCGTGAGGACGCAAACCAGTGGGTGTTGAGAAGGTTTGAAGGCCGAGCCTAGCTGCCTTTGGCAGGATTCGTGCTCTGTGATCAGAGACCCAACAGTGTCTTCCACGGGGATCACACTTGAAAACTGTCATTTGGCGTTTCATGTGGTTTAGGTCTTAGCACCTGCAGGGCTGGCAGAAGGGCATTTCGTTCCAGTCCCCAGCCCCAGGCATATTTAAAAATCTTGGCATTGGAGTATCCAGTGTTTAGTTGACATGTGGGTCTCCCTTCTCAGCTGGTGGCTCTGATGTCCCTCTTCGTAGAAATGTTCACCTCTGCCTTCCAGGACACAGGCTGAGAATGTAAGCCCAGGGCAGACCTCAGGGACAGATGCTGGCTTTTGTCTCTGCCATCTCCTCATCCTGGGACTGTTTCTCAGATGCGCAGGGCCACGGCCTCTGATAAACAGGGAGGATAGACTCGCGTCCCATTTCCCTCAGATGTTCTGTTTTGTAAAATTCTTCTAGGTCTGAAGGAGAAAGAGCTCACCACGAAGAGATTGCAGCTCCTTCTGGTGGGGAAAACAGGAAGCGGGAAAAGTGCAACCGGAAATAGCATCCTTGGCAGGCAAGTATTTGAGTCCAAAATCAGCGCTACACCAGTAACCAGGATCTTCCAGAAAGGGAGCAGAGACTGGAATGGAAAGGTGTTTGAGGTGATCGACACCCCAGACATTTTGTCACATCAGCACCTGCCTGAGGTAGCAGCTGAGAAGATCTGTGGAGTCTTGGACTCTCCAGGGCCCCATGCAGTGCTCCTGGTGATACAGGTGGGCCAGTACACAGCAAAGGACCAGGAAGCTGCCAGGCGCCTCCAGGAGATCTTTGGAGAAGGGATCCTGGCTTACACCGTCCTGGTGTTCACTCGGGAGGAGGACCTAGACGGGGGATCCTTGGAAGAATATATCCAAAACAACAACAACAAGAGCCTGGATGATCTGGATGTCGCATGTGAGAGGCGACATTGCGGCTTCAACAATAGGGCCCAAGGGACTAAGCAGAAGGCCCAGCTGCAGGACCTCATGGAGAAAATCGAATTGATCCTGTGGGAGAACGAGGGCCGCTGTTACACCACAGAACTTCCAAATGTTCCCAGCAAAACAGTTTAGCTGCAGAGCAGGCTTCTGAGGAGGATCCCTCGAGGAGTCCTGGCTGGAAAGGCTGTCGCAGATCCAGATGGCCTCCGAGAAGACCTGTAGGTATCTGATAGGGAGGGCATCCATGTGGGCCGACCATAAGCAGGGGTATCTTAGTTAGTGTTCTATTGCTGTAAAGAGACACCATGACCATGGCAACTCCTATAAAAGGAAGCATTTAATTAGGACTTGCTTACAGTTTCAGAGGTTTAGTCCATTTTCATCATGGCAGGAAGCGTGGTATGCAGGCAGACATGGTGCTGGAGAATTAGCTGAGAGCTCTACATCCAGATCCTTAGGCAGCAGGAAGAGGGAGACTCTCTCCCATGCTCACTCCTTCGGGGCTGACTCACCCACACCTCAGCCAACAGGGTTGTCTCTATTGTGTTGCTCTGGCGAGATGCAGGGCCTGCCCTCCTGAGTATTATAGCTGGAGGGGCACAGAGGCAGCTCTCTCACTCTTGTTACCTCAGGGACAGCTCTCCCACCTGCCTTAGGTGCTGATGGGTGGAGGGGGGGAAGGGCATCTCTCCCCAGCCCATGCCACCATATGGCAGATGAAGGGTGGGGCCAGGTCTCTCACAGGTTCTCAGGGTTGGCTCATCTGTGCCCTTGTAACAGGATCAGCTCTGCTGTGCTGTCCAGATGACGTGCAGGGCTGGTAAGGGGGTCAGCTCCCTCACCAGCTGGAGGTAGGAGGGGGTAGGTGGAGGACGTCTTTCCCTCATCCCCACCACCTCACCACAGATGAAGGAGGCAGTACCAGCTATGTCCCTCTCACGCTCTCAGGGCTGCTGTTCCGTGCCGTCTACAGGGTCAGCTCTACTGTGCTGCCCAGGTGAGGTGCATGGCCTGTTCTCTTGAGTGCCAACTGGTGAGGAGTCCAGTCAGGTCCCTCACCTGCTGCAGGTGGTGAGGGGTGAAGGGAGGAGGGCATCTTTTCCTCACCCATACCACCACATGGGATGTGAGAAGGGCGTGACCTGCCCTCCCATTACCATGCCCTCAGGGCCATCTCACCCATGGCCCTGCACATGGGGTCAGCTTTATTGTGCTGACCAGGTGAGGTGTAGGACCCTCTCTCCTGAGTGCTTGAGCCGGAGAGTGGAAGGACCAGTTCTCCCTAGAGTTGTGCCCGTGGGGTCAGGGCCAACTCTGTACAGCCCTGTCCTCTCAGCTTTTGGTGGTATAAGGGGCCAGGGACATCAACAGAGACCACCGCTGTGTCAAGCCAGGAACCCAGATGTGGGTCTCAGCAGCAGCCCAGGCCCAGACATCACCTTGGCCATCAAGCCCCTCACCTCAGCCCACTCGCTTCCTCTCTCACCTCTTCAGACATGCCTCTGTCCACAGGACATGAACCATTCTCTCTCTCTCTCTCTCTCTCTCTCTCTCTCTCTCTCTCTCTCTCTCTCTCTCACCACACCATATCTCTGCTCACTCTAATAGTGCCCCTCTGGCTAGTGCTGCAAAGTGCTAGGTGTGCCTGTGTTTTCTCCTTGGAGACTGGGGTGGAGAGCACCAAGCCTGTACATGGGTCTCCTTTTCCTGCTCACTTAGCCATGATGCTGGGCTGGGCCATGCTTCCTCATCACAAAGAGATCCTAACATGCCCAGCCGCCCTGTGGGTGCAGAGGCTCTACTGAAGTCCTATGGCAGGTTGGGTCTAGAAGGTGCTTGGCTGAGTTCCACCTGCCCCGGCCACATACCGAGGGGTCGGAGGCATTGGGGGAGTCCCTCGGTGGGCCCTAAAATGAATATTTTTTAAAAAAGAAGATAAGGGCATTGTTTACTTTGTTGCTCTAATAAAATACAATGAGCAAAAGCTACTTGTGGAAGAGTTTATTTTGGTTTATGGTTCTAGATGGAATGTCCAAAATGGCAAGGGAAGCGTGGTAGGAGCTGACCAGAACAGGAGGCTGATGGATCAATCAAGTAAATGGTGGGTAAGGCTATAAACTCTCAAATGTAGTCAGATTTTTCCTGGGCCACCAGCTCACAAAAAGTGACACTGAAACTTACTATTAATTATGAAGGCTCAGCCTATACCTTAGGCTTGTTCTACTAGCTCTTATCATTTAAATTAACACATTTATATTAGTCTACTTTTTGCCTCATGGCTTTTTATCTCTCTTCCACCTTGCACCTCCTGTTTCCTCTCTGTGTCCTCTGGCATCTCTGCTGTGCCTAGATTCATCTCCCCTTCTTTTCTCTCTCCCGGAAGTCCCGCCTAGCCTCTTCCTGTCTAGCTATTGACCATTTAGCTCTCTATTAAACCAATCAGAAGACACCTTGACAAAGGCACATCTTCACAGTGTACAAAAAGATTACTCCACAACACTCCAATCCTGTCCCCAGTGAGGTCCATCTTTCAGTAAGGCTGCACCTCCCACAATCTCTCCAAACAGCGCCACCAACTGGGAGCCAAGTGCTCAAATACCTGAGCCTATGGGGGACACTTCTCACTCAAACCTCCACAGTATGCAGCAAACTAGACTTAACTGACTTATATAAAGGAAGAAGGAAATTGTGTCACTTGCAGAACCATGGATGGAATTGTAGGTCATCACATTAAGGGAAATAGAGCAGATTCAGAAAAGCAAATATTGCAAGTTTTCTCTCATATATTGAAGCTAAAATGTTTTAAGAGAAATGAAGCAGAAAGGGGTGTATTTGGGAAAAGGAAGGGGAGCAAAAGGTGGGCAAAGAAAAGAGAAGATAGTGTGGGGGTGTGAATATGATCAAAGTGTGTGTGTGTGTGTGTGTGTGTGTGTGTGTGTGTGTGTGTGTGTGTATGAAGATGTCATAAGAAAACTCAACAACCAATATATGGAAAAATAAATGTGTAGAGACAAATTCTGTAGCTTTGTACTATTTAGGTTAAAAGAAAATGAGCATTCTAAAGCTGAAGGTCTGCTCTGTGTTAATAGTGTAAATATCAGACTAGTTTGTATTACTACAGTCCAGACTCTTACTTACCTGGGAGCTCTGGAGGCATCCCCAAAGGAAGGAGATATGCCTTACATCACCACTAATATTCACCATCCAAGATGGTGCTAATGTTAACCAATGCATTCAGGCATGGTAAATAAATTAGGGAGTGTGCTGCTTCATTTTTTGCCAATTTAACACAGGCTGGAGTCATTTGGGAAGAGGGAACCTCAATTGGAGAAAAATTTCTCCATTAGACTGGCCTGTAGCTCAGTCTATAGGATATTTTCTTGATTAATGATGGATATAGGAGGGTCCAGCCCACTCACTGTGGGAGTTACCTCTGTTGTAGAATATTACTTTAACTATGTAAAGGTGTGTTACATTTGTTTATGATGTGGAATATTACTTTAACTAGACAAAAATGTGTTACATTTCTATGCTGCAGTTGTTTAACTATGTAAAGATGGATTGCTAGGCAGGCATTTGATTGGTCTAATAAAAAACTGAATAGCCAATAGCTAGGAAGTAGAGGGATAGGCGGGGCTGGTAGGCAGAGAGAATAAATAGGAGGAAGAATCTAGATTCGAGAAAGAAGAGAAGGAGAGAATGAGGGAGAAAGAGAGGGAGATGTCCAGGGCCAAGCAGCCAGGCAGCCACCAGCCATCCAGACACAGAGTAGGACATACAAAATAAAAGAAAGGTAGAAATTCCAGAGACAAAATGTAGATGAAGAGAAACAGGTTAGATTAAGTTATAAGAGTTAGTGGGACAAGCATAAGGTAAGACCGAGCATTCATAACTATTAATAAGTCTCCATGTCATGATTTGGGAGCTGGTTGGTGGCCCAAAAGAAAGACTGCTACAATCATTCTTAGTTAAGTGGTCCTGGGCTATATTTAAAAAGTTAAGCTAAGCAAGCCATGGACAGCGAGAAAGTAAGCAGCAATCCTCCATGGCCTCTGCATCAGTTCCTTTCTCCAGTTTTCAGGCCTGAGTTCCTGTCCTGGTCTCCCTTCGTGATGGATTGTAACTTTTGAGAGGAAATAAACCCTTTCCTCCTCAAGCAGCTTTCAGCTGTGGTGTTTATCACAGCAAACTGCCTCGGCCCCTACACCCTTTCCACCCCATCACATGAAGTCCCCTGAACCGAGGATGCAGGAGTTGTGTTGTGGGTGTATCAGGTAGGGCTGGGCACATCACGGTGAGTTGTTCTCTGCATCTTGACTAGTAACTCTCTGTAATGGTCACCTGCTGCTGGAAGAAGCTTAGAGAAGCCAATTTCAAGGTAGGAAAGAACCAATTGAGCTGTCACAGGTGACCACCGGGAAATATTGGGACGAAGCACTGGGGATTCCTAGACACTAATAAGTGAGGATAACTCTGAAGAAATGTAGAAAAATAAATAAGGAAATAATTCGTGATACCTCTATATTGAAGGAAACTTATGTACCAGGAAAAGCTCACAAGTCTCAAAAACTTAGGACACAATTTCTACAATAACATAATAAGGATCCAAATGGATTGTGGTGTTTGAACAGTGAAGAATTGAGAATGTGGCCTAAAGATTTCAGAGGAAAGAAGAGGATGAGCCTAGGGGAGTGACTCAGTCAGGACAGTACTTGTCTTGCAAGCTTGAGAACCCAAGTTTGACTCCCAGAATGTGTGTGAAAAGCTGCATGTGGTGTTATGCACTGGTACTCTTGGGGCTAGGGAAGTGGAGGTAACAGCATCCTCAGAGGGCATGGGCCAGTCAGTCCGGCCTAACTGGTCAGCTCCAGGCCAATGAGAAGCACTGTCTAGGGAAGGTGGATGGCAACCCTGAGGATGAGACCCGAGATCATCCTCTACCCCCCACATATGCACATGTACCTGCACACACACACACACACACACACACACACACACACACACACACACACACACACATATATGCACATGCACCCACATGCATAAGAAAACAAAACAGAAGATGAGGAGATACCCTGGCAATAAAGTAAATCTGGCTGAAAAAACACCTTAAACTTTTACCAATAAAACAAAATTCATCTCTGTGCTATAACAGCAGCGCCATCCTCCAAGACAAAACAGATTCCACTTCTGAACAAGTATGAAGCAGCTGAAAAGTTTATTGTCACAATAATAAGCAAATTAGCTGGGTGGGGCAGAAGAGGCACAAGCTAGATGTATTGGGGTACGGGGTGGGGTTGGAGCAGTCAGGTCATTTCCCAAGGAGAGAGCTGACTTCATCAAACTGGTCATAAGGTTGATGAGAGTTTCTAGAGGTACACTCGAACACAGCAAACACTGTAAATTGTCTGTGAAATTGCTAATTTGTGCTCATCCTGGACTACTTGAATTAGGAGATTTGCCTTGTCTTCAAAGGGCAGACAGGGAACAATTTGAGGCTCTTTACGAACATGTAATAAAACAAACTGACATTCACTGAGAACTATACAGCCATCTATTTCTGTCTGAAGATTACCTCATGCAAAGCACTGAACTTCCTAATAAAACATAGAAGACTCTTGTCCAGAAAGTGGGCAGCAACGTATAGAAGCTGCAGGTGAAGACTATTGTCAAGAATCCGGAGAAGGAAGAGTGGGTGCATCTCATAGTCATCTTCTAGGGACTCCTGGGTGGCTTTCTCTGAGGAAGAACACAGGGGTGGCAAGCATTCATACATTCTGCTTTGGAGTTTCACAGATTGAGGATTGGTCAGTTTTTGAATAAGTCAATTGAACATCTACCAACTGTCAAAGGCGACCTATAGTTCATTCCTTAGTCCTGGAAGATGGAAACCAAAGCATTTGGACATTGAGGAGTGAGTCTTGCAGGGCAGAGTTTTGGGGGCAGGGATGCAGAAAATAGGGATAAGGTATAGTCTTGTAGACTAGGTCTAGTCGTCTTGCATAAAATGATTGTAGACAAATTGAGCAATCTCCCATGCTTTCATGATTAATTCAAGTATCTTATTTTGGTGCTCAACTTCCTGCCTAGCATTTTGCTGCCTCTCTGCATAGTGGGCCTCTGCTCTGGCGAATTCCCTCTCCATTTGAGCCTTTCTCCTTTCCCTCTCCAGCTGATCTCTCAGATCTCTAATCTGTTCTTCATACTCATGTATTATCCTTTCTCGCTCTCTCTCGAACTCCTCTCTGTAACGTTCTTGCCTCTCCCGGGTTTGTTTCTGAATCTCTTCCTCAGCGCTTTTGTACATCTTGTTGGTAAAGCATCTTCCATCATTTTCCATCACCATGCGCTGGACCAAGGTCAACAGCTGTGTCCTCTGGTCCTTCTGTTCAGCTCCTGATGCTTTGTTGTTGAACAAACAGTAGCGATCCTCGAACTTATGGATCAGCTCTTTAACGAATTCAGGAGCCGTCTCTAAGTACTCCTGGATATCAGTGTCTTCCAAGTCATCCTTCCTGGTGAGCAAGAGAATCATGAATCTTCTAGCCTTCTTTCCAAACATGTTCAGAATCTTCTGTGTAGCCTTATGGTCTTCCACAGTGTAACGCCCCAATGGGACCACCAGGAGCAGAGCATGAGGCCCTGGGGAGGTCAGGGCAACACACCGAACTATCTCTTTTCTTGTGTCAACATCTGGTACCTCAGTGTCAAAAACACCAGGCGTATCCACGACAACGACCTCTCTCCCATCCCACGTGCTCACCCTTTTCTCACAGACCTTGGTAATGGATTTTGGACAAATGCCAGAATGAAACGCTTTCTCTCCGAGGATGCTATTCCCTGTTGCACTCTTTCCTGCTCCGGTTTTTCCCAGTAAGACAATTCTCAGTTGGGAATTTTCCTGGTCTTGGTTTGCAAACCCTAGAACATGAAAAAAACAAAATTAAGTGCAGACTCGGCCCCCAACAGTTAAGCACATAGAGTCCCACCTTCCAGTGCCTGCTCTCCTGCTGCTCCACTCACAGGGGCTCCCCCTTGCTGTCACCTCTGCCCCCCAGGGTCTGCAAACAGCCTCTGGGTCTAATGACCATCTGGAAGGACTGGACAACAAGGAGCTCCAGCAAGTGCCTCCCTTGGTCTCTCTTCTTCACTGCCTCTGGACAACATTCTTTTGAACTCCTCATTCTGACCCTTTGTGACTCCCAAGCCCCCAGAGGAAAAATAAGAGTTTCAGAAAAGAACTGTGAGCTGCTTCCAACAGCCGCCCCACTAATGGAATCCAGGGCGGCACACAAAGTATGGGTTTGGGCCATCTACAGGGCAGGATGTATTTTTTCTGATTTGTATTTAAAAATGACTTTTTTTTCTTCCAACTGAGAGCCAAGTAGGGGTGACATACAAGCTTTATGATAGTTCCCCATGCTGACCTAGGCCATCTGCATATATGTTACAGTTGTGTAGCTTGGTCTCTTCCCGGACTTCTTTAACAGTGGGAAGAAGGGCTGTCTCCAAATCTTTTACTGGCTTTTGGGACCCTCCTCCTCATACTGGGTCACCTTGCTCAGCCTGAGGAGCTGCTTAGTATTCCTGCTACTTGATATGCCATGTTTTGTTGATATTCAAGGGAGACCTGCCCTTTCTGGATGGAGATGGAAGAGGAGGAGATTTGGGGGTGGGAGCAGCATGGTGGAGAGGGGTTGACTGGGAGGGAGGATGGGGGAAGGCTGTGGTTGAGATGTAAAACAAATAGATGAATAAAAATAAAGACTCAGGAGAAAAAAAAGGACAGTTCCCCATGTTTGGAAACCAGAATCTCAGGATGAAAGAAAGAATATTACTAGAACACTGTCTGAGATGATCTAAGAAAAGATGTGAGGGTCATTCCCATCAGCATTTACTGAGTTGCACAATGTAGTACCACATCTGAAGGGTTCTTGTGAGCATTGATTTCTTGGCCATAGGAAGGAAGAATGGAAAAAGCACCAATCATAGCTCCTGTGCCACAATTAGCCAGTGTTGATACCATGTGATGATGATCCCTGGCTAGATTGCAACACATACCCCAATCCTTCCCATCCCTGAATCCCCTCCTCTTTGGGATGGAGATTTTCAGCTTTTCCCAGTAAAATGTAGCCGGTGGGTCTGGATCTGAGGACACTATGTCACTAGTGACACTATGACACACATAGTGGAGGACACTCTGCTCCCGAGGACCAGGAAGCAAAACTTCCAAGAGCCCTTAAGCAATGTGGCCTGTCTGCTCCTTTGGCTCCACTGTGGCTGCCAGGTGAAGACACCTGGACTAGCTTGTTGGACAGCAGCAGCCATGCGGTGACACATTGTGGACCCTAATAAAAGTGGCCTGAAGATCAGAGGACAGAACAAGCCATGGATTAAACATAGAAGCCAGGCAGTGGTGGCACACACCTTGAATCCTCAGGAGGCAGAGATCCATCTGGATCTCTGTGAGTTCAAAGCCACCCTGGATTGCATGAGATTGATTCAGTCTAGGAAGGAAACAGAGCCAGGCAGTGGTGGCACACACCTTTAATTCCAGCACTTGGGAATCACATGCCTTTAACCCCAGTACTAAGAGTAAACTAATATGGCTGGGCAGAGATATGTATATAAGGTGTGAAGGAACTCGAGCCTTTTGGCTTGGCCTTTCATGACAGAGCTTTTTGGCTTGGTTTTTCATGAGAGTCTTTGAGCTGGGGACCCAGAAGCAAACAGTCAGGCTCCCTTTTGGCTGGAGCTTTTTGGCTTAGGCTTTTGACTAAGTTCTTTCAGCTGAGGCTTTTGCTGCTGAAGACTCAGAAGCAAACAGTCAGAGGATTCGTGGAGTTGGTGAGGTAAGACATGGCTGTGCCTTGTTCCTTTGTCTCTCTGATGTTTCAACATTTACCCTAATATCTGGCTCAAAAGTTTTTTTTATTAATAAGACCTTTTAAAAATAGAGCAACACAGCCAGGCAAGATCCCCACCACCCTGGCCTGCCTAAGAGGTAGATGACTACACCCAAGCTTCTTAGACTGCAGGCTGTGACCCCCATGTGGGGCCACAAAGCTGGACATGTGGAGGAGGAGAAACAGTTAGCAACAGTGAGGGATTCTGAACCCACAACGACTAAAACTGATTTTGAAATCAAAGGTGTAATGAATCTGTAATGTCTCTGACAGCACTTCCCTGTGTTCTATGATGAAACAGCAACCTTGGTTTTGACCAAAACCCACCAATCCTTTGCCTTGCTCATATCATGCAACACCAATGAACACTGCCCAAACATGATGACTCAGATTGAGACTATTGCCACTTTCTAGTATGGACTTAGTGAATGCAGTTCTTACAATTGATTATTGTAAAATTAAAATATCAATTGACCCTGAAAAATGTCTGAGATGTTCTATCCTGCAGTATCAAATATTCAATCAAGACTTATGTATGCAAAACATAACCCAAGCATATCCACCTCACTAGTGTGCAAATATGCTTTTTTTGAAGTTGAAGAAAAACAATACATTCATTAACTTTAATTTTCTTATTTACTTTCTTTGTACATGCCATACACTTCTTCAGTGTTGTCAAGGACTAGTTGTTCAACACAACTTGTACATAGGAATAGTGTGCAATGCAGGTACTCACAACAGTTAACATCTCTATTGCTCACATAACTACGTTTTATGGTGAAAACACTTAAAATCTATGTTCTTATCAACTGTAAAATACAGTATTAAGTATGTTCACTATGTTATGTAACAGGGCTCCAGAATGTGTTCATCCTAGCTAAGTAAAACTCCTCACAATATGAACAGGGCAAATACACTTTAATCTTTCAGAAACGGTAAATTATATGTGTGTGTGTGTGTGTGTGTGTGTGTGTGTGTGTGTGTGTGTGTGTGTATACCAAAAATTTATTTCAAATTTCTTATGTTTGACTTGTAACCTGTTTTATATGCCTATGTACCTAAGGTCACATAAACATTTCTTGAGGAAAAAGCAGCAATGCGGAGAGGGGTGGAGTTTAATAAGCCCTGAAGTACACACATCTGCAAATCTATCAAGACCCTGTCAGGGAACCACTAGTTTGTCAGAGGTGCATGAGTGACATATCTGTGAGCCTATCAGGACTCTGACAGGGAACCAGTAGCTTGTCAGAGGTACATGAGTGACACATCTGTGAGCCTATTGGGATTCTGACAGGGAACCAGTAGCTTGCCACAAGCACATGAGTGAGTACCCAACTTATCAGATGTGGTTCAGACCCCAGGAATACATGATGGACTCACAGCATCTGGAGCCAAAGAAATGGGTGATATTTTATGCTACTGCATTGTAAGGTAGTTTGATAAACCAGCAGAATCTCAACTGGCATAGTGAACATGGTGGACAGAGGAACTGGAGTGCTCAGTGACACACTGATTCATTTGTTGGGGAGATGAGGACCCTGGGAGAAGGGACCCAGATGGGGGATCAATAACCCCACATTGTTCTCTCCTCCTTTAGCACAGGGAGACTTTCTGCTATGTTCACACTGTAGGAAGAAGGAAGTGAGACACTGTGCTTAAGTCAGGCATGGTGGTTCACTCATACCTGGCAGTGGGACTGGTGAGACAAGAGCAGGATGGCTGTCACAAACTGTTGTAGAACATTATTTTAACATATGTTACATTTGTTTATGCTATGGAACATTTGTTTAATGATGCAAAGATGTGTTGCATTCTTTTATGTTGTATTTGTTTAACTCTGTGAAGCTGTGTTACTTTGCCTGTCTAAAACACCTGATGGTCTAATAAAGTGCTGAACAGCCAATAGCAAGGCAGGAAAAAGGACAGGCAGGGCTGGGAGGCAGTGCGAATAAATACAAGGAGAAATCTGGAGGAAAAAAAAGGAAAAAGAACAAGAGAACAATGAGAGGGGGATGCTAGGGCCAGCCACCCAGCCACCCAGCCACCCAGGCAGCCATGGAGTAAAAGTGAAATTAAGATACACAGAAGGAAGAAAAGGAAAAAGCCCAGGGGCAAAATGGAGATGGGATAATTTAAAGTTAAGAAAAGCTAAGCTAAGCTAAGACCAGGCATGTATAAGCCAGAATAAGCCTCTGTGTGTGATTTATTTGGAAGCTGAGTAGCGGCCCCCAAAGAGTAAAGAACAAAAACAGCAGCAGGAGGCTGCAAGCTGGCCTAGGCCACAGTGTGAAAGCCTGTGTCAAAACAAACAAGGGGGGATAGAAAGAGGAAGGGAGGGAGGGCCCTGGTCTGGACCAGTGAGAGGCCATTAGGTTTCTCCTGCTTAGCCTGATGGACATGTCCTACGAAGAGAGCAGGAAGAATCAAGAGACCCCGCAGAGCCAAGAAATATGAGGACAGCAGCCGGAAATACTTTGCTCCTGCTATGTGGGGACTGATGGTCAAGACAGGAGGGATTCCACCCTCCCTGCGGCCTTCTCAGTTCTCCTGCAGCTCAGCCACCCACGCCTCCCCACACCCACACCTATCCCAGCCCTATCCCACCCTCCCAACCCCCGCACCCCAGCTCCTCTCACCATAGCTGGTCCTTGGCTTTCCTGGGACAGACCCCACACCATGGTACCGGGCTGTCATTGACTCCCTGCAGATAAAGAAACAGCATAGCATTTTAGAATCCTGCCTCCTGTAGCCAACACTAAAGTTTTGGTCATAAACTCCAGACTTTCATGTCTCCTGACATCACAAATCATGTCTTAAGTTCCTCATCAAAATGCACAGCTCCTCACAGCTTCTCAGAACAATTTTATTCCATTAAACCCTGGGCGACTGGAGAACTCCAGTGCTAGTCTATTCCCCAGAACCCAGCGAAGGAAAGAGGGCTTTCATGTGCTTTCTAGGAGGAAAATGAAATTCACAGGCCAAAGTTGACAGTGATTGAAGAAATGCAAGTAAATCTCACATACAACTATCAATGCCAAATCCTAACAAAATATTAGCAAGATAGACTCCAGTGGAATTCATAAACATGGTACATTATGACAAAGTGGAGTTTCTGAAAAGTGCCAGGGCTCAAGAAGAGAAAGTTATTATGGTAACACACCAGTCAGGGTTCACATAAGAACTCTGCAGAACATGTGGACTGATGCAAGCTTCCCATATGCTTATCCTTCTGTCTTTGTCTCCCTCTTATTCTTTGAGGCCCCAAGCTAGCAAGTTATTAGTGGGGAAAATCTTTTCTACTAAAACCCAGAAGTTCCCACCTCACTTTCCCTAGGGACTTGAAGAATTAGCCAACTCAAATAGAGGGAACAAGAAATACAGAGACATTTTCACTATCTGTAGGAAAACTGCAGATAAAACATTCTATCCAGCAATCTGTTACTTGTAGGTATATGGATCAGCATATGAAAAGTAGCGCTGAAAAAATGCCTAAATGATTTGCAAATATATTGACATCCTAAAGAAGGTGCAAAGGTTTAGAGTCAATCCTGAGCACAGTAAATTATACAAATACAGTACTCAAATATGAAATTCTCAAAAATGGAACACACATACACATGCAAGAGTGTAGAGAGGTAAAGTGAGAGGATGGTGAGATACCTAGGTATCTCTCCTGACTCTGCCTGCTAAGTGAGAGAAGTAAAAACAGGTTCATCAGGGGCTCTGATCTTGGTGCCTAAGTCCTACCACTCAGTGAAAGATCCCTTACAAGTGGTAAGTCCTGGATATTCTTATCCATATATTCATTTAGCAGAAGTCTGAACGTGTAGCAGCACATTCCATTAACACAGATGTGGGGAAAGCAGAAACTCTCAGACAGCAGATGGGAAAACTGAGCCACGCAGGTCTGTGAAAGGTCATCTCTGCAGTATTTACCCTGGAAACCACAGTATCGAATCTGAGCATGTACCCAAGGACACATTGAGAACAATATAAAGAGAAGTGTGCACACCCTCACTCGTGGGAGTAATAGTTATAAAAGGCAAAGCAAAGATGATCCCATTTGCCATGATTAGGAGACTAGTGGAGTAACTCATATGTTCACTGAGGATGTGCTGTATCCCATGGGATGTCACAGGAAGAATTTGTTCAGGACCAGGAGGTGGGGAAATGACCACCTCACCTCCTCTGTAACTGTGCAGTATTTTCTCTAGTAAAGAGTTATGGTTTGTATATGCATTTTCTAAGTACAACTCTCTGGAGTGCTTCCACACATGTGCACATTTCATGGGAGTATTTTGTCCTCATAAAGGCTCAAGGATAGAGGATCAATTCCCTTCCTAATTTTATAGATAAGGAAACTGTAGATCCAGCATAAACAAACATCTGCCCCAGGTCCCTATACTCACACTATCCAGTGCAGGGACTGAAGGCCAAGACCCTCTGACTCCACCAAACCCCCTCATAACCAGGCCCTGAGCAATCTCTTCCTGGCTCATCCTCAGGCCATAATTCTAAAGGCCAGTGGAGATCACATCAACGTGCCACCAGGAACAGGAAGGGAGAGAACAGCCCTCCCTCTAGGAAGTGGAGCTCTAGACAAGACAACCCTAGGGATGCCAGATGAGGACCACCCATCTCTCAGTGGTTTTGTTTTTTCTGTTTTTCATACTGACAAGCTAAGGTTGGGAGACAGAAACACTCATCTCAAAACTGTCTAAAGTGGTTCTAGGAAGACCCAGAGAACCTGCAGCTAAGAAGTGAACAGAGAAAGTGTTTCAGAAAATTGCAGAGATAGGTCAGGACTAGTCCACTTTTGGGAATTCCTGAAGCCCCGTGAGATGCAGTTCCCTCCACTGGGAAAAGGGACAATGCAACCAACCCATCAGGATGGTTCTGGGACCTCCCAGGGGCAAGTTCTGTAAAGGTCGCTTACAGTGCTGAGTGTGACCCTCACTCAAGACTAAGGCATTTGTTGTGCAATGCCATTCGTACGAAGAAAATTGAGAAAGGGCAGCAGCCCTTGCTCAGTGGCCCAACATTGGCCAGCGTGTGCATGACCCTTTGTTAGACTTGCTAGCACCATGAAAGAAGACCCAGACTGCAGACACAGCAGCTCACAGGCTCAGTCATAATCACAGATACCCTGGGCCTTCAAAATAGCGTGCCCTCTTCCTAGAGCTCACACCCTCCACTCCAGCCCCCACACTTTTATGGTCATGACCTCTTTCCTGAGAAGCACAAGGTGGGCCTCGACTTGGAGTCAGAAACAGGAGTCACTCTTGCCCACCTTGATGTCCCTCTGATAGTCATTGGTGCACTGAGATTTGATATGGGGAGTTGAAGGGAGTTAGGGCACGTTTACAACTGGTGACCTGCCTCCTAGTTCTAAGATCTGCCTCAGGGACAGCAGTGACATTTTAAGGAAAAGTAGTGGGTTTTCAGGCATCAGCATCTAATGCCACCCATCAAGCAAGTCTTTCTTGTTAGTCATGAGATGATGGACCTGATACTAAGCAATCTCAGTATCTTTTCAGGACCTCTCGACTTCATGCACTGAATACCTGGGGTGCACCATGTCCATTACCCCCAGCCCCAATCCCACATGCTCTGTGTCCTCCATCCCACCCAGCTCACCTTCTCCTGCAGGACCGAGGAATCCTCACCCTGTCCTCAAGGAAGCTGACTGCACCACTGCTCCTGCTGCAGCTCTGCAAACCCTGAGTGGAGAAACTAGAGGGGTGGAGCCAGTGCAAAGGTTTCAGTCTGAAGAGCACGGGAAACAGTCCCGCGTTGTGGCTGAAGCTTCACCTTAGCCCTAGATAAATCTCTTCCTCTTGGGCCTGCTGTGATGTAGAGTCACAGGCAGTGCTTGTGTTCAATGGCGATGGCTCTGAAGACCCCAATCAGTGCTCCACATGCAGCGTAGGATACAAAAGGGATAGTACAGATAATGATAAAATAAAAAGATAAATTATTAAATCTGTTTTTAAAAAACAACTTGTTTAAAATGTTTTACATTACTATAAATTTTAGTTTATTGATACAACTTTAAACTTAATTTTGTTACACTATATATATATATTTTTATACTCTGAGGTATTATGTTTATGTAACTTATTTAGATTATAATAGATAATTAAAAATACAGATTAATTAGTCTTCTATGATAGTCAAACCTGTAACATGTTAGTTAAGTTTTCTAGGTATACATAAATATGTTTCAGATAGATAGGTGATCTTCAAACACTTCAAAGCCCTACAAAATATGACATTTAAAATGTTTTAAAAATTTAAACTTTCTAGACAACGAGACATGTCTGCTCCTGACAACACTGATTTACTTCAAAAAAGAAGATGGACATCAAAGACACTTGGTATAGAGTTTATCTTCTTCTTGACAAAAATAGCCATTTGGGCAAGAAACTGTTCTTGCCTAGACTGCTTTAAATATATATAAACTAGATATACAAGATCCAAAGAAAGGTGACCACTAAACTTTACTGGACATAATGGTCCTTCAGGTTCCTACTTTACAAAAAACAAAAAACAAAAAACAAAAAAAACCCAAACTACCAAACATTCTACAAAACACAGAGAAAAGTAACTAAAATACTCTAGGCCTGTGGGCTAAAGATAGATGCCCCAACATTACAAAAAAATATTAGGTGACTGTCCAGGCTGCCAGCTGTCTCTGTCTACTCTCACAAGACTCCCAAAAATTACTTACATCCTTCTGCCATTTCTCAGGTAATATTTTATCCTCTGGGGCCTTTGATGTAATTAAAAACTAAATAGTTATAATTTCCTTAGTTATGATAAGAGATAAGTTAGATATAAAACATTAGACTCAGAAATATAGGAGAGATAGGATATCTTCTTCAATTTTGCCAAATACACACAAACTAAACATTACAAATAAACTAAATGTTGTAACTGTAATTCTTACTTGATAATTGTTTTGTTATCTGTAATTTTACTATGTAAAAGTTAAAACCTTCCTTTTTTAAAAAAAAAGGAAAAATGCTGTGGGATGTTCCGTAAGTTAAATGTGTTCCTCTGGTTGGTTAATAAATAAAACACTGATTGGCAAATAGACAGAAAGTATAGACAGGACAAGGAGAGAAGAGAATTCTGGAAAGTAAAAGACTGAGACAGAGAGACGCTGCCTGCCACCATCCTGACAAGTGAGATAAAAGGTACCAGTAAGCCACCGGCCATGTTTCCACTTATAGACTGATAAAAATGGGTTAATTTAAGATATAAAAACAGCTAACAAAAAGCCTGAGCCATTAGGCCAAACAGTGTAAATAATATAAATGTCTGTGTGTTTATTTTATAAGTAGGCTGTTGGACTGCCAGGGCTTGGTGGGACCTGGAGAGAAAACTCCAGCTACAGGACATTCCATCATCAGCTGCAGGATTGCACGTTACTCCTCTTTGCAGGAGTGTGGTCCTAATCTCCAAACTGAGAGGACGGCTAACAACTGACAGGACTCGGATGAGTGTGCACCAGCCCCAGCCACCCTGGGGGATCACCATTAGCTGAACAGTAGCCTCCTGAAAGGTCATCCTCCATGCACAGGCAGCTCCTCATCCATGACTGGTCGGCATGGAGACATAAAGGCACACCCTTCAGCGCCAATTTGGAATATGGCCAGAGTTCCACCCAAGCTCCCATACTCCAACCTAAC